GGTAGGTAGAACCATATCCTGTATGTATTGAACTCTGTATGTCTGGTGTATTTTTTGTTTCAGCTCAGGATCTGATATGGGAATCACTTCTTTAAACTTGGCTGTTTTTGTTAGAAATTCTCTGTGTTTTCGTGGTTGTGATAAAGCAGGATCATACTCTAAACATCCAATGACGTCCATTATACATTCCTCAGAGAACATAACTTCAAAAAGAGCAGTTCGATTCAGGAGGAAGATGCCTTTGATAATTTCATACAAGTGATGCAGTCCTTCAATATTTTCCAAATCTTCACACACGTGAAAAAGCTCTAAGAGCTTTTTAATATAACCCTCATTTTCCAGTGCTAGTGCAAGTTTTTCACGACGAAGGGGGGAAGGTAAAGATGATGCCACAAGTTCTGCAATTTCTTCCAGGCGACTTAATTCACAAGATGGCAACTCTAAACCTGGTGATGACATATCATCAAAACGCTCCTCTTCAGATTCATCCACGAGGTCCTGAGTGATGTCCACTGAAGGGTCTTTTCCTTGAACCTATGATAAAGAACTTCTGATAGATGACAAAATATAAACCAGTAAACCTAAATGATGTTCTTAGATGAATATGAGATGCTAATAGAAAAAAAAAATTTCCAGTTTCAGACTTTTTCAAATTTGACACAACTGCCTACTTTTCAAAGTTACATTTCTCCAAATAACACACAGACTTTCAAATTTAAGGAAGGCAGCCCAAAATCCAGAGATAAATGAGCTTCCTCATAAAGAATAAAACTTATTGGCAAGACTAACTTTCTAAGACAGGTTAAACTGAGATTCTAGACTGATGAAAGAGTTCCATGGAGACCTACAAAATAGAACAAAAAAGCCTGAAGCTAAAATATCCACTTATATGTCATTAGACAGCCCCTCTTTTTCAATAGACCAGGCCAAGCCAAAGACTGTGCCACAGGAGAATTACCACCAAACTCTTCAATACTGAGGCTGATGTAAAATTCAATACAAAATAATATGGTCATCATAGAACATATCTATGTTAATTAACTATAAGCAAGGAAAATATTTTAATGTTAATTGAGTCTGGAAACCAAGGACCAAAGAGCACAAGCTGTTTTTAGAACAAAGTGGGTCACTGTTCTGCTATAAATGCCTGACAATAGCCCAAAATACGACCAAGAAAAACTGGGTAAGATACAAGTGTACCCACACAAAAATGTAGCCACATACAAAGCAAGCACCACCTATATAGGTTATAAAGCTACTCTCAAGAGTAACTTTTGAAAAGTAACCAAACTAGGAAAACTTTTCATTCTTACTCACAAACCTTGTAGCCTCCCAAGATCTCCTAGAAGCCCTAAAAATGACTACATTTCACCTTATGACACTGGATAGGGCTTTAAAAAGAGGTAACTTGAAGTCTTCATGATTAAATACATCTAAGGTAAAAACATATTTTCGCAAAAGGTCAAGAATAGATTTTGAAATGAATCATATTTTTCTATTTTTGCCCCAGAATTTGGGACACTGGCCATGAAAGCAACTCATCAGAGCAAAGTAGAATGCTAAATGGATGGGAAAATTAGGCCGTACTATGAAAGAGCTAAGAAACTTCAATTGCTTAGCATGCTCAAGAGATATGATATATATTAGAAGGAAAAATGGTCTGAAATATTTGTCTTGAAATATGCTGCAAAGTCACAGGGAAGTGACCTCAACCCATGGGAAAGCACCTCCCAAAGGAGCCAAGCACACATATAGCTTCTACCTGGCATGGTCTCAAGTAAGCTCTGGGTGTGTAAATTAAGTTCTCATAACAGCTTTAGGTTCCTAATATCCAAGTAATGGCTTTACTCATAGAAAAATGGTAGATTTTGATTAATATACCAAATTAAAAGGAACGAGAGTCCTTATAATAGAAGCCATCTTTTTTTTTCTTTTCTTTTTCTTTTGGAGAGGCTTTTGCTATAGGGTGTGTGCACTCGCCAGACAGACAGAGACAGACAGAGAGATAGAAAGTGAGAAATCACCCTCCATAGGGGATGGCCACGCCGCAATCCCTTCTCCTCCATTCTCCTCTTGGGATCTTGGGCATGCACGCATATACGCCCGGCGTGACTTTAAGCCACCGGGTCCAAGACTCGAACCGCGGTCGACTACGTGGGAGTCCAGCGACATAGCCATTACACTAACTGCTGGTCCCTTAGAAGCTATCTTTAAAAAAAAAAAAAAAAAAAAAAAAAAAAAAGATTTTTTTTTTTTTTTTTTCACAGGGGGGGA